TTTAAGAAGAAGATTGCTTTCTTCATTAATTATGACACATTGCCTAGTATGATAGTACGAGATAAAAAGCCAGTTGAATATGCTAAATTTTTCACTGTGTTCCATGATATCCTTGACCCGTCTAAGAGGAGTTTTGCTTTCAAATGCAGTCTACGTGTTACCGAACACAATGGCATCCTCCAAAATACTTGAACTCAGCACACAAACAAACAAACATTGAATAAAGTTACAAACAAGATTAAGGTTCAAGTTATTTGTCCCTGTAGCAAGGCGTCAATTGTCCTAACAGATGTAGGGACGTTAAGAGGATTTAAACCATGCGAATTTAATAAACCAGCTTAGCAATAGGTGCTTTCCACAAGTGCTAAGAACCGGAAAGTAAATCTAGCCTAAATTACCCATCGGACCGGAGGATCACCTACAAGGAAAGCTTAAAATTTCCTACAGGGTACAATAGGATTCCGTGCAAGCATGGCTTGTTTCCCCCTAAAAACTTTCTATTTGCATTAAATCTTGTGATAGGAGCACACGCGCATGCAAAACAGTGGTTTAAGGTCTCCGCTGGGATTTATTCTTGAAATCTGAAATATTACCTGTTGTGCCATCCGTTTTTGCAAGGCTGTGGAAAAAGAGAGAGAGAGAGGGAGGGAGGGAGAGATGTAACGAGCAAGCAAGAGAGGCATGTCTCAAAGCCAGCAAAGGACTAAGATGCCACACTTCGGAAAGGCTGATTGAAAACAGACTCTTCTTAACTTTTAGAGGATTTTCTCTCTCGCTCCCTCCGAGGGCTAAGAAGCCGATTTGGGAGTTTGAAGGGAATAGGTTTCAGCATCCATATTTGTTCTGGTGCACTTGTAAAATGCGATTTGAAGAGGATCTTTAGCCCTCTGATTGTCTTTGTATTGTTTTTCTTGAAACGGATCTTTTGCCCTTAATGAATCCCCACACAGCTGGACAGCTCCTGCTCGGACACTGAGAGCGCTAACCCCAAACTGACCCCAATTTGACACCACAAGATGAAATTTTACCGCCTGTTAAAACCATTTCCAGCCTCGGCAAAAGGAGCTGGCGGTTGACTGAGATGCACTTCCATACCGGACACCTCATTTCTCTTTGGACTTTTGAGCCGATCTATCAAAAAAAAAAAAAAAAAAAAAAAAAAAAAAAAAAAAAAAAAAGGAATAAACCAGGCACCACCCCGACTCGTGTCTATCTCACACTTTTCCTGAAAACAGCCCTCGCTCTGGAAGTGATGCAGGAGAAATGGAAATTAGCCATTTTAATTTTTCCGAATTACTTTTTTTTTTTTTTTAAAGAAATGTCACTAGTTGGGGGGGGGGGGGGGGTGTGAGGTTGAAAAAAAAATCACCTAAGTATGTGAAAGCCCTCACTCTCTGCACGCACGTATCCCATTTTCCTCCGAGTTCCCAACAGCATCTTTGTTAATAGATGAGTACATTCACTTAAGGGCGCTAAATTGAGATCCCTTTTTAATGGCTAAACTGTAGCGCTTTATAAACCACGCTCTCTGTGTGCTTTAATCCACTGGGATAGTGATGAGGAAAAAGGCTTCAACTCTCTTCACGTGGAAAAAAAAAAAAGACACAGGAGGAACATGAAAGATCTTAATTTACTACATGAAATTTCACTTTCTGTCAAGTTAAAATAATTTTTAAAAGTTGGTCCCTGTCCCAGATTACAAACATGCACAGCAGGGCAAGACAACGCAGGGGGTTAATTAGTTTAGGAGGGGGAAAAAAATTAAACAATTGAAAGGAGCAGCATTGAACACTGCACAAGTCTTTGGCTGCTTTTTTTCAGCTTTGATTTTAGTCTGTTTTCTCAGAATTTCTTAGTAAGGGCAGCTGAGATCTACAGAGACTTCTGTGAAAAATAGAATTAGCAAAAAAAAAAAAAAAAAAAGTGGTATAAAATAATATTCTAAGCAATAAAATTATTTCTTCTATGGGAGCCAAGTAATCTAACTTTTTTTCCGAGAAGAAAACTGATGAACTTCTCTCAGAGCTTGAGGTCTAAAAAAATGCATGGAGCCTTAAATGTAGCCAGATTACTTTTGCACAGCCAGTTTATAAGGAAAGACCTCGTCTTTGGTGATACTGAAACTATTTTAAAAGAGGCACATTTCTACATCTCAAGATACAAGGCTCTGGGTTTGCACTGCCACGGTTAAAAAACAAGTTTGGAGGCTACAAATATTTGAACCACATCCTCTAAGCTGGCTGCACCACAAGCAAATGATTCCATGCAAGTTGAGAAATCTGGCATCTTTGGGGCAAGGGGGGGGGGGGGGGAGGGGGGGAGGGGGGGGGGAAAAAAAAAAAAAAAAAAAAACCAAATAACATTCACCGATGACTAGATCTCTTAAAAAAAAAAATCTGCTAGAAAACTACAGCTGTAAAAGTAGGAAAGGATTTGCATAACCTACTGCTCTGTAGGTCTCCGCGCACCCAAAGGATTAGCCAAGCATTCATTACCATGAATATCTTGAATTACGTTACCGATTTATACGACAGAGTATAAAATACTGCACAAGAAGACTGGCTTTTTCCCTGCGAAATGAATTGACTTAACCACTGCTTGAAAGAGATCTACATACTAAGGGCTCTTCTACTCACCTCTCTTTACAGTCCCGTGAAAGTCAGTCACAGCAATTCGGTTGCTCTTAGGACTAGCTTTAATCTTGGAGGAGATCCTCTAGGAAAAAAAAAACAACCCGTGTCTGCTCTCCGGCTTCTGGCGGGTTTTAAGCAGGGTGCAACTCTGTAAGTAGGAGAGGGACTTTTCTCCGTATCTCCCTCATATTTGTGAATACAGCCCTGCTCTGCAGGGCTCGGCGCTAGCGAAACATGCAGGAATGCCCACTGGCGTTTGTCAGCTCTCCACACTATCTTTCTTTATACGTGAGGGCTGATTTCCCGCAGACATCATTGTTATGATGGCTCATTTAATCAAACTGTTTAATTGCTCCGGTAATCACTATCATCATCACAGGTACTCAATCATTCATCATTTTGGAGGGGTTTATTGACCTCTGGAGCTCATTCCCTTTGCCTATTAAAATCAGGCCAAATATCTGTAACTACCCCTTGAGTCATTTTCTTAAAGTTAAAAAAAACCCCAAACCTCTGAAAAGCATCGTCATCACCACGAAAAGCAAACCAAACCAAAATCTAACGGAATAATATATTTTCTGCCGTGTATTTTCAAAAGCCATCTATGTATGAGGCCACATTCACAAACGGGTACATAATCATTGATAAATTCCACTATTAACGGGATAGTCTGTTTTAGATTTTATGTGCAGGGGACCGTGAACGAGGGTGGGGGGTTGGGGAGGACAAAACTGCAGCAATCGATAGTTTGACCATCGCTCCTCCCCTAAACTTCAAGCATCCCCCATGATTGATGATCCCGGGTAGCTTTGGTAATTGACTGCTCTGAGGTAAGGCATGGTGTAGCTTCAGCGAAGTGATTGGGCGAGAGAAACGCACCAAAATTAACGCGCGCGCGCGCGCGCGTGTGTGTGCCTGTGTGCTCGGAAAAGTTCATTTGGTACTCAAGGGTGGGGGGGGTGGGGGTGCATCATCTCTCTTAATTTGCTAAATAACCCCACTGTAATTAGCACTACCATTAGAAGGCATTACCGAGCTAATACTCCAGCATACATTCCACAAGCGCAACGTCGATAAACGGCAAAGTCCAGCAACACACACACGTAAATGCTGCGCTCGCCGCCGGAGCCGCTCGAAACGAACATGCAAACAGAAATCTACATAACATCTGGATCTCTCCCACAAAAGACTGAGCATGACTTTGTTTTTAAGCCCTTTACAAAGCCTGGCAGCCTAATCGCAAAACTAAAAGGGATTTCCCCCTCTTCCCTCCGCCTCTCCCCGCCCTCCCCCCCGCTTCAAGACATCCAGAGCGTGTTTGATAGCAGCGATCACTTAATGAAGAGCGGTGCCCAACAGGGTTTGAACGAGGCGTTCTCTCCATGCCCCGGAAAATTAATTTTTAGCAGCGGCGCAGCGGCACAATGAGCGGTCGGCGGGAGGCGGCCCGGCTGCCGTGGCGGCGGGCCGGGGCCGGGGCCGGGGCGCGCGCGGCAGCGGCCGGAGCCGGCGACCCGAGCGAGCGGCCCCGCCGGACGCCCGGCACCGCGGGCGATCGGAAGGTATTCTGTCGCTCAAATAACCCGGCGCAAACCGACCCGGGGCCGGGCTTCTACCGCACTTTTCTTCTGGCTCTCTGCAGTTTCCCCTGCCTCTCCCCCCTCTCGCACACACGCACTCTCCCTGTCCTTCCTCCCCTGCCTCCCTCCCTCGCTCCCTCCCTCGCTCCCTCCCTCCCTCGCTCCCGGCGCGGCGCCGCTCCCCGCCGCCGCCGCCGCCGCGCTGCAGGACTGGCTATGGCCACCACTACTTCCGGGTTCCGTCACTTCATTCTCCCGCCGATCAGCGCCGCAAAACTGAGCCTCTTCTATAAGGCAGCCGGCAGCCAACCTGCCAACACTTACTGACACTCACTCATCCCAGGGAGTGAGGGAGAGAGGGAGACAAAATACCTGCCGGGAGGAAAAAAAAAAAAAAAAAAAAAAAGGAGAGAGGGGGAAGTCCGGGCTTTACAAACTATTCAATTTTTCTTCGCATCTTTCCCCACCCCCCTTCACAGTACTTTGAAAAAAACAAAACAAAACCAAAACCAACAACCCTATAAGCGATCCTAAAAGGCAAAACCTGAGCACGGAGTTACTGGAAGAAGAAACCGGGGTTAAAAAGATTCCTCCTCTCTTCTTCATCATCATCAACCATCATTCATTCACTACCTTGACATTCCCTGGCTTTGATTGACAGCTGGAGTGGCAAAAAGCCATGAGACACGACAGTTTGGTTACATGTGGGTTGCTGACGGGCCGATCGTAACCTTCAGTTTGGGGGCTTGACAATTTTTTTTTTTTTTTTTGCGTAGAGAAAGAAAAAAGGAAAAAGAGAGACAGAAAAAGGAAAGAGAAAGAGACAGAAAAAAAGAAGAAAACACAGAAACTCATCGTGGTTCTTGACTGTTTTTTATATATTGTTGTTGTTATTGTTGTTGTTATTACTATTATTTACCCATATTGGAGGATAGGAGAAGTCTATAAGTGGGTTGCAAAAAAAAAAAAAGGAATCTTCTTCACTCTAAATCACTTTCTTTGCTGGACTGGGATATTAAATATACGACACATCCAGGAGTTTATTGGAGCGCAGACTGATGGCGCAAAGGGTAGGTTTAAATCTCCAACACTTACCTATATATAAATCCTCTCTTAAGAGGGGCCTGTCCGATTTGCTCTCCTCTGTTGCTGATGATGATGGCGGCCACTATTAAAAAATAGCAGCAAAAATTATTCGCTGGCTTTTTGTGTGTGTGCATGAGTGTCTCTGTGTGTGTGTCTCTCTGCAATTGTTCCACGCTTTTTTCCTCTCTAGCTTTTTCCCCAGCAGCGCGAATTCCCTGCTCTCTGCCTGCTCAGTAGCACGGGTTTCACAGGGGAAAGCTTGCTGCTGCTGCTGCCGCCGCCGCTACTGCTGCTGCCTAGCAAAGACTAAGAAATACATATGTGTGTCTGTGTATATACGAATGTATATATATGTATACACATATAGCTGCTTCTTTTTTTTTTTTTTTTTGTCTCTGGCTGTGACAAGGACAAGGGGAATTGCCACTAAATAATGTTTCTGGTAACTTTCAGATTATTTCCCCCTTTATCTACCCCCCTCCTCCCGATACACCCTACCTTTCCTCTCTCGTTTCTAGTGTTGATTTATTTATCTAGTTGGGTTTGATTCTGCTTGTTTTTTTTTTTTCTTCTTTTCTAATGCAGAGTAACTCTAGTTTCTCTCCTCCGTTTCCTTCCTTTTCATCCCTGTTTCCTTGTTAGGGTTTCTCCTGCCTGTGCTGAAGAGGACCATCTTCCCCCACGCACTCAGACAGGCAAACACACTTTCCCCTTTTGCCTCTTCTCGCACCCCCACTCCTCCTTCAGCCCTTCCAGCCCTTGCTCCCCGTCCCAGTTGATTTCATTTTGAGCATTACTCTCTCTGTTGTGGCTGTTCTTGTTTTGTTTTGCTCTGTTTGTGTCTGTCCGGGTGCTTTACTCTCTTCTGACTTTTGTTGTTGTTGTTTGTTTGTTTTTTTATTCCCCCCTCTCTTCTCCTCTTTCTTTTTCTTTCTTCTCTTCCGGCCCGCTTTTTGACAGTACGATGAGCTGCCCCACTACGGCGGGATGGACGGAGTAGGGGTGCCGGCGTCCATGTACGGGGACCCCCACGCCCCCCGGCCGATCCCCCCGGTGCACCACCTCAACCATGGGCCGCCGCTCCACGCCGGACAGCACTACGGCGCCCACGCCCCGCACCCCAATGTCATGCCGGCCAGCATGGGCTCCGCTGTCAACGACGCTCTCAAGCGGGACAAGGATGCGATCTACGGGTAGGTGCCGCGGGGCCGCCCGGCGCCAGGGCCCGGCTCGCAGCGCTGGTGCCCGCGGAGCGGCCGGGGCAGGAGCGGGAGCGGGGCGGGCAGCGGGAGCTCCCGCGGGGCCGCGGCGGCAGCGGCCAGCCGGGCCGCGGGAGCGGAGCGGGGCGGGGGGAGCCCGGAGACTCCGGAGGGAAGACGGCGGCAGGGCAGCCCCCAGCAGCCCGCTCAGGAGGGAGACCCGCGCGGTGGCACTGCCGTGGCCGGCGATCTCGGGATGAGGGCAATTTCGGGACGAGGGCGATCCCAGCCTGACTCGGCTGAGGTGCCAGCACCCACGGGAAATGGGTGCTGGAAAACAGAGCTCTTGGGGAGAGAGGCTGGCTTGGAGAGAGGTAGTGTTGCCTTGTCGTTCCATTTTTCTTTTTTATTTATTCGGTTTTTTCCTATTTTGTGGATTTTTTTTGGGGGGGGCGGTGGGGGGTTCTTTTCTTACCCGTGGGGTTTTTTAAAATTTCTTGGAAAGGCCCCACTTAGGAGTTAGAGACTCTCATTGCTCTGGATTTTAGTTGGAGAAGTGTTGTTCTGGTGTTCTCTGTGCCATAATACCACTCTTCCAACTTTGTAAATAAAGAGCTATTCACATCGCGGAAGGTAGTAAGAATAAAAGGGATTCACTTCTTGCGAACAGCTCTTCCCAGAGACAGAAGACATAAATACATTTGGGGGCAATGAGCTGAATTTTCTATTTGAGAAAGAAAGAACATGAGGAAAAAGAAACCCATACCCAGCAAAACTCAAGCCTGCACCAGGGCTTCTCTTGGAGGGAATGACACCGATTCTCTCCAGTGCCTTTTGGAAAAAATACTAACTGATCCTCAAATGAGAGCTAGTAACATCTATGACAGAGTGTGGGGCCTTGGTCAGACACCAAAGGGGAAAAGAAACAAATGCATGCTTACTACTTAGCACGCAGATATTTTTTTTTTTCTGACTACACCAACTATGGGAAAATATTTCGCGAAGTGCTCCCTTCCTCCACCCCCTCCCCAGCTCACTTATCTGGACAGATGGTATTTTACTTGGGTGTGCTTCCTAAGCCAGGAAACTTCACCACATTTTTGTTAGCAGGCCCCTTGAAAAATAAAATTACGTATTAAGTAGTTTGCAGTTTGCCTAGCTGTACTCTCGTTTTAGGTCATAGCTGGAGGGTAGGGATGGGATCTTCCAGGTTTTGCGGTATTTTAAGCTGTGGCAAAAGTGTAACATTCTCAGTTGAGCTGCCGCTGAGCATGTTCGGTGCCTTGTGCGTTTAGAGAGGTCACTTTTGTCCTCGTCGGCGAGGACTGCACGGGGAATGTGGTTCGGGCATTGCAATTTCAAAATTTAAAAAAAACCCCAAACAAACAAACAAACAAAACAACAACAGCCAGCTCACCACCAAAACCAGTATTTTTATTTCAAAGTCTGGTTCTCCGCTGCTCTGCCCGGGGCATTAGTGCGAGACTGCAGAGTGTGGCTGTGTCCGTGTGTCGGTGTCTGTGTGTCCGCGCATTAAAAAAGCCCAAACAAAAAAAAAAAAAAAAAAAAAAGCAAAAAAAAAAACAAAAACAACAACAAAAACTTGTTGATTACAGCTCTTCTTTCCCCCTCTCCCCCACCCCCTCCCCTGTCTTTGTGTGCCACCGCCCGGTAGGCACCCGTTGTTCCCCCTCTTAGCTCTGGTCTTTGAGAAGTGCGAGCTGGCGACCTGCACGCCCCGGGAGCCCGGCGTGGCCGGCGGGGACGTCTGCTCCTCCGACTCCTTCAACGAGGACATCGCCGTCTTCGCTAAACAGGTCCGGCACCTCTCCCCCCTCCCCCGACCCTCACCAGCGCTCCCGCCGCCTCCTCAGCGCCTGGACCCACACGGCCGGGTGCTGGCAGGGGCAGCCTCCCTTTCCCCCCGCGCCCCCTCTCCGGCGGGGCGGGGGTGAGCCCTGGTGGCCCGGCTGGCCCTGACCTCCCCCCACTGCCGGCAGCCCCTCCACGCTGCCGGGCTGGGACTCCCTGGCCTTGCCCTCCTGCATTGGCCATAGGGAAAGGTAGCTGTGGTTTTGGAGGCAGAGGGAGCGGGAGGGGAAGCAGGCAGGGGACCCACAGGAGAAAGCTGCCGTGGGACCAGCGGCCGGCTCAGTGCCGGACCGGCAGGAGCGGTGCGGGCTTCTTTCCACAGCTCGGTGACCCAGGGCCTTCAGCCGGATTTTGGTACCGGCCGGTTTTGTCAAAGGGATTTTCCTCTTTCGGACGATCCGGTTACGGGGGCAAAGACAGCAGCTGTAGTTCACGCCGCTTTTCCTTCTTCTTGCAGGTCCGCGCCGAAAAGCCACTTTTTTCTTCAAATCCAGAGTTGGACAATTTGGTAAGGCCTGCTCCCTCTTCCACCGCACTCCCCTCTCGCCCTTCCCGACCCCTCCGCCCGCAGCCGGCAGGCGCCCTCCTGCGCTCCGGGACCGGGCCGGGCGGTGCGGCGGGGCAGCGGCTGCGGGGCCGGGCACCGGGCTGCGCCGGCATGGGAGCGGGGCGCCGGCCGGTCGGCAAGTTGCCGTCAAGGGGCTTCAAAGAGCTTTATTCTTAGAGCCAGTCAGAGCAAAGTCTCAAGCCCCAATGCATTGCAAAGCTGAGTTTGAAAGCCACGGGAAGCTAAAAGTGAAGGAAGTAACTGCTTAAGAAGAGAGAGCTGGAGATTTCTAATGTAATTCTTTTGCTAATGTGAACGATTTCAATATTCAAAGTGCCTAAATCCGCTTGTAAAGAAGATGCCAAACTATTCAAACACACATTCACCCCCCCTTTCTCCTGCGGGCGGGGGTGGGGGTGGGAGTGTGTGTTTGACTTCTCTGCGAACCCTCAGGGATGAGGGCCGGGGTGCTGAGAGGGGAACGAGGAGAGGAGGAGGTTTTCTCCAGCATCGCGGTAATAAAGCGCTAATCACCGCTTCTAGAATAAATATGATAAAAATCGAGTGTTTAGGTTAAAGTTGATCAAAATTGTTAAAGCGTGACCAATGAGCTAAAATCCCGTATAATGACCGCGCGCCCTGACAATCCCCTTCTCCCCCTTTCTCACTCGGGCTCGCGGCTCTGCCCAGCCCCCGTGCTCCTGTCTCCCACGTAACCCCTTGCTCAAAACTTTCTTGCAGATGATCCAAGCAATACAAGTACTAAGGTTTCATCTTTTGGAATTAGAAAAGGTAAGAGCCACGGAGGTGGGCGGGGGGCATGCCATTCCCTGCCCCCTCTCCCCTCGCCCTCTGCCCTCCCCCCCCCGCCCCCCCACCAGCTGCCTTCCTCCCGACTGTTTGGGCTGACTTGTAAACACGGGCAGAGAAGATAGGGGTAATGCATTGTGACACTGTAACCTGTGCCATCAGAGCATGTGACACCCGACACAAATGCCCAGACAGTTTTTTTCCCTTTTTGTGTGCTTGTGTATAATTTCAATATTTACTAATATTAAATATTAAACCCCTTTCATCCTTCTTACCCCTTTCCTCAATAGAAGCTCTTTTTCCCACTCAGAAATACTGTGTTTAACCAAAAGAAATGAAACCACTCGTTCTCCTCTCCGGCTCTGGCAGGCACATTAACCCCAAGCAAGGACTAAATGTTTGGAAGAGGCAGGGGCCCCTGCGAGGCGTGGGCAGGGGCTGTGCCCTGGGACAAGAATGGCTCTTCCCACAACCTCAGCAAGTAGCTTCATTTTACTGCTCCCGGCCTTTTAGACCTTTTTTTAGCCCCGGTTTAAACTGATCCCGTCCCGAGTGACTAGTTGTACCTGTCTGAGTTATGTATGCTCCGGAGATACCACCTGGGTCCAGCTCCCAGTGTTCCGATGTTATCACCAAATCCGATTTTCTTCAGCATTCAAGTCCGAGCCCACTATCTCTCTCTCTAACTTGTTGCTGCAGCAAGTCTCTAGAGAATAATATGTGCTGCAACAATTTCTCTATTGTTTCCTTGCCTTCAACTATTGTCCCCCTTAATTACAGTTACTTGTGAAGTAGATCAGAGGGTTGAATTTGTTACCAAAAAAAAAAAAAAAAAAAAAAAAAAAGCGCCGGAACACGATATTTAGCCATTATTGATCCTATTATTCTCGTTATTCTTTTCAGGTTCATGAATTGTGTGATAATTTCTGCCATCGGTACATTAGTTGTTTGAAAGGAAAAATGCCAATAGACCTCGTTATTGATGAAAGGGATGGCAGCTCCAAGTCTGACCATGAAGAACTCTCAGGATCTTCCACAAATTTAGCCGATCATGTAAGTCCTTCTGTTTTCTTTATGACACTTTTCAAGTTTCTAACTTGCTTAGAGGACCTGTTCCGGGTTTCCTTGCTTTGCTGCTGCTGTCTGTTAGTATTATTACTACTTTAACCTCCTGCAAGCTTGAATCCCATCTTCAAACTTTCTTCCCTTTTGCTTCACAAAGTTGTAGAAATGCAAAAGGCTCCTTCAGTTTTCATCTGTAAAGCATCGAGTTTGCAATGGTTTGTAAAGTTTCCTAGTCTGGGCGTCTTGGAGAGCTAGCAAACTGTTGGTTTGATGTGGGGATCAGTGCTTTCTCCTGTTCTTTGCCAACTTTGTAATCAATGCATCAATGTAAGGAAACACAGACAAGAAAGTTAGGAAGAAAGTTTGCTGATTTGCTCCCCCCTCCCCTCTCGTGGGGATGACAAGTGATGAGAATTATTGGCAATACTACACTACATTAAAAAAAGGGGTTAGCACATTAGAGTTTCCAATGCTTTTGCTTTATAGCAACTTATTGTCAGAATATGGACTTATTGCCAAACGCCTGAAGCATCTTCATAATAAAAGACAGTAACCTTGATGAAGCAATTATTAACAATGTATTACAGAAAGTTGGAGAGAATGATGATTGAGTAACCGTAGGTTAGCGGTTGATTTTAACACTTTAGGAGTTGGTGAATTAGTGTAATGTGTGTAGTACTGAACATTGGTGTGCATGAAAAGGAGAGTGCCTTTGTTTTTCCGGATTTTGGAGTGGCTTCTCTGATCCTTCAAAAGATGTAGATGCAGAGAGACTTTGGGATGTGTGGAGGGAAAGATTGCAGCTGGTACAGCAGAAAAGGGAAGGAATAGCTCTGGTTAAAAAGGGTGGGTGTGAATTCCACTGTATTTATAGGAACTCATCCCTGGGGGGCAAAGGGGTTTATACAGTTTTAGATTCAATTGAACTAATAATCTAAATGATAGAGTCTAATATTTTAGCGGTTGAAATATTAATTTAACACCCGGTGTGAAGTTAACCATGCTTTCTGCACAGGCGCCTGCCTTTATTTCCCAGTGTGTTAAGAAGAGTAGCTGGAAGCCCAGGGAGAATGAGCTTTCTAGGAGCTTTTGTTTCCTTTGAAAACATGTTGTTTTTGTGTGTATTTGGTAATTACATTAGACCTGGACTGAAGCTGAATTGGGAGATAAAATAATAATAAATTCTTCTGAATGTCCCCCTTCTGGCGTGGCTTAGTTACGGGAAATATTTTTGGACCCAAGGCTTAGCTTTCATTTTCTCATTTGTATTCAGTAAACATTGCATGACAAGGTTTGTGCTATGTTTTACATTTTAAATCTATTATTTTGAGAGAAAAAAAAAAGTATGCAGATCTTTCTTAAAGTTTCTCTTCTTATCAGCTAACTCACACATAGGTAATAAACTCCATGAGGCATGACACAATTTCAAAAATATTTGTTTCATGGCATTTTACAACCTTAAATTCGTGGGCATAAGTATTCTGAGAGAGTACTAGAAAAGAAATTGAAATGAGTGGCAACCTGAAAGATAGTGAGTCACTGTGTAAAATTTAGAGAAAGAGAAGAAAAAAATACATGTTTCTCCAGTTCAGTTTCTTTACAAGAGTGTGTTTCAAGTGGAAGTGTAGAAATGGAGCATGCTTATGTTTATATTGAAGAGATTAGATAAACTAGCCTGTTTAGGGTTCTGGCAGATGGCAAATGCTCAAGCCAATTTGCAGTGCTCCATTATAATATTTAAATTCACACACAATGATAGGACAGGAGTGGAGGGGGTTAGCATTTTGATAATTTGGTAACTATTATCTTCCCTAAGAAGACTCTCCTCTTGCTTTTGTGGCCCCAAAAACAAACTCAAATAAATATGACAACCCATTTGTCTTGCACCCGTTAGGGTTTACCACTTCATTGGGTATTATAATTTAAAGCCTTTTACTTCCTGGAGATTTGAGCTATAACATTTTTACTTTAGCCCCCTGCTATTTGTTTTGAAAGGAAGCAATAATTTGTGCAACCAGAACACCAACTGGGAAATGAAGAGTTGTATCACATAGTTACATTTTATTCATGCGTTTTGGGAAATGTGTCTCCTTATTGGATTTTTTTTTTTTTTTTTTGTATATTAGCTTGTTTTCCTGACAAAACTTTAACACCTTTTTATAGCTTAGTCAAACTACCATATTTTATATTTGCACTGTACAATGTTCCAGCAGAAAGAAATGCATTTTTATTCATAGAAAAGGAAAAGCTTAAAAAAAGGGCTAATATAAACATGCAAGTCTATTAAAAAATGAGCTATCATTTCTGAGCATCTACCTGAAAATGTAGCAGTTCAAGCATGCAAATTTGTCCAATTTGGCTGTCCAGGTTTATTTTTTTTTCATTTGCCTTGATATGCATATTTAATACATAGCCTTAGGCTAGATCTCATTTGGTGAAAGTTGGTGTAGGGGTGATGATGAGCCACTTCAGAAGGACAGAGACAGCATGTTGTTTCCTCTGTTTTATCTCTTGGCCCACTATTCTGATCTGCGGGTCTTCCCCTCATGGTTTTATTTGCACATGAAATACTAGGAGCATTTCAACTGATTGGCTATGAATAATGATAGCCCAAAAGAAGTGAAGGTTAATTTGTTGTGTGCCAAGGCTTCTCTTGTGGAGGTGACAGTTTGTGACAGCTGTTTGACACCCCAAAAATCCATACCCCTCTATTGTTATTAAGTGGTGTAAAGCTACCGCTCTGTGTGTTTAATGTGAATGTGAGGGGTGGTAGTAGTGGCAGAGCTGAATTAGGAACTAAGGCAGCTCTCAGCTTTATTGTTTTTCTAGACCTTAAAACTGGCATGAAGGAAAGTAACAGAAAGAATTGTAGGATTAGCCAATATTTACCATAACACTTTAAATGGGGTACTCAAATATTGCATGCTTCCCCTTTCAAAATCTACTGCTCCGCTATTTATATAACTTAATTGGAAACCAAACCCAAAAACAACAAAGGAATGAACTCTTCAGAGATACACCTGTGCTGAAAAAAAGGAGACAGCTGAAACTTGTTGTGCTGTACATGTTTGGTAATAAATGTGTTTATTGAATTTTATTTTAGTGCGCTATTAACTGTTATGTAATATAGTTAGTGTAAAGGGTCCAGGGACTTGGTAGATCAAATAGTGTAGTGCTGGCCACAAGAAGCTGAAACTTTTGTTATTACTCTGCTGTGTTTAGTAAATATAACAGCCCATAATTAGTGTTTGAATTTTTAACACCCTCGTTTTTTTTTATTGCTCTGAGGTATTAGCTGTAGATGGGAAGAAGGTAATTACAGCTATGCCCTGGCTGAACCAGATTAGTTAGGGGAAAAAAAAGATAAGAAAAGAGTGAAAAAAAGCCTTTGCAGCTGCAGTTCAAGTTTGGTTTCCCAGCGCAGACAATTTATTATTGTTCAACTAAACATACCAGGCCCTATCCTGAATTCTGTGTTCAGCCTAAGGTGTCTGATGAGATTGTTTGCAGATTTTTTATTTTTGTATTTCAACTATTCAAATTTGAAAAACACGATGCTCATAAAATTTGGAGATTTTAGAACATTTTTTTGAACATATTCTAACATTTTGTACTTAAATACACTTCTTTTGTAGCTGGCCTCACCTGGTGTCATACAATTCTTCCTTTAGTACAAACCTGTTTTGAAGCCTAGTAATTCTCCCATAGAAATTTATGGCTGTTCTTCCACTGGCTTTTGTAGGAACGGTCTTTTTGGTATTTGTTCATCTGTTTTTGTAGCTCAGAGGTAATAATATACAGATCATAATTCCTAAAATATCATGAAAACAGATAGAAATATACATACATGTATTTTATAAAGACAGACTCTTGACAGATTAGAAATCCAACATTTTAGCCATAGAAGAGAAAGATTAGTCTGAATATTAAAACTTTCAGCTCTCACATGAGGAGATACTTAACTTTGTACTTTTGGATATCCAGACAACTTAACATTTCTTTACTATTTCTCCTCAAAGAATGGTCTGTGCAAATTCCTGACGTTTTGCAGATTATAAAAAAATAAAAAAAGTATAGTACATACCTCTTCCAGTAATACAATTAAATCTTCAGGTAAGGTTTCACTGAGTAGTGAAGAAGTAATTGGGGGCCTGATGCTATAGTCTGCAGGTATGCCACACTTTTGTGGACTTCAGTGGGAGTTTCGAGAAACAGCAGATTAGACCCCAAAGGTGCCCTTTCTGTCTGTAGTGTGTCAGAAGGAAAACTAAGTAGCTAACTGCAACGATAATAAGGCAAACTTAGAATTTTCTGTAAGACTTAGGACATTGCTGTAGGCCCTTTCTTTCTTTTTTTGTAGTGCCTTCTGAAGGGGCAAAGAGCATCAGGGACTTTCCTAGACTGTAGATAGTGTTCCTGCTTTTTTATGGGCCAAGGTATGCTTCTGTCACCAGCTGAAGTCTCAAATTTGAATGTTTTAACTGTAAACTGTTCTCTCAAACTGAACCAATAATGTTTTTCAGTATCTTTTTGATAACTGTGATCCCTTTTGGTTTGAGTTGTCTATCAGTCTAGATGAAGTGTAGCCACACAGAATGACATAGAAGGACAATTAAAAAAACCCAACACCCCCTGATTTTTCAAGTCGCAGTTCCTTGGTGACAGGTGGATTACATGTCTGATTTCAATCTTAATTAGAAAATACAAAACACACAGCTTTTCAGAACGCTGCCATGTTCTAGGAGCCGCAAAAATTGCTCCCGATGCTTTCTTCATGTGCAAAATCAAGGGACAAGAATTAAAACTTGCACATATATACAAAATATCTGATAGATTGCTGTGCCTTATTTTTTTTGTTTCAATTGTGCAACCAGTACAAAAAAGTAATCATCTTAAGTAGGCACCTTTTGGAAAATAAACCCGAACGATAACCAGGAGTAGTCTTTTTTAGAAAACATATATATTATGTCAAATTAGAGTTTTTAATA